CTCTCTCTCTGGATTGTGAGCTGATCAGATTATCTGATGCCGCAGGATGATCGCACAACCTTTGCGGAAGAGGTGGGCGGGGGGGGGGGCGTATGGAGGAATACACCCCATCTCCGTTCTGCTTTTGGATTTTTGATTTGAAGAACTGTAGCATCTGTGAATTCCTGAGAATTCTCCATCAGATGTTCCTAGCTTTCCCCGCAAGATTTTATACATACATCCTTGGAAAGGATCCATGTATATAGGTTTTCTAAGTTTACCTAGAGAGCAAAAGGTCCTAAAAAGACTGTTCAGAGGCATGGATGTGGTCTCAGAAAAAATGACTTTGGGGTTTCCGTCGAGTGCCTGCAAAAAGGCGAGTCCCTTCCTAATATATATATTTGCCTTGTAATTTGAGACAGATACCTGCATTGGGATTGGCAGGAAATATGCCGAAGGAACAGTTCTCTGATTATTTTTTTTCCTATGGCGTTCTAAAGAGACACACTCTGTTTGCATAATTCCTAAAATTCTATTTGAAGAGCTGGTTTGCAGTGGGAAATCCAAGGGAAGGGACAGCTGCGTGCCGAATTACTCTCAGCGAAGTGTGCTTGATCTTGACAGGATCATGGCCACGAATGCAGTCAAGAGTTTAGATGTAGAAGCGTAAAATGAGAAAATATGATGGATTAGGGGAAAAAAAGGGGAACCCCTTGCACGATGCTAAATCCTGCTCTTGTATTAAGTGAGAAAATGGAATTTAAGTAAGGTCTCTCTCTCTCTCTCTCTCCTTTCTTTCTTTCTCTTCTCTCCCTTTCCCTCTCTTCTTTCTTTCTCTTTTCCCTCTCTTCTTTCTCTCTCTTTCTTTCTCTTCTCTCTCTCTCTCTCCTTTCTCTCCTTTCTTTCTCTTCTCTCCCTTTCTCTCTCTTCTTTCTTTCTCTTTTCCCTCTCTTCTTTCTCTCTCTTTCTTTCTCTTCTCTCTCTCTCTCTGCTTTCTCTCCTTTCTTTCTTTCTTTCTTTCTTTCTTTCTTTCTTTCTTTCTTTCTTTCTTTCTCTCTCTCTCTCTCTTTCTCTCTCTCCAAGTTACGTCAAGCCCACAGCATATAATGAATGATTTTAATATTTAGTTGCTTCGTTGGTTAGATGAATCAATTAAGCATCTTTCTGATCTACTAAAAATCTGGCCCCAATTAAATAGGCCACAGATTTTTTTCCCAACATTAATTATGTGGGTGAGCCCTTCTGAAGAAGGGGTAAAAGGGCAGCTCACCACTTGGTTATCAGAGGCCAATGAGCTTTTCTGGGTGAAAACCACGAGTCACGGCGCGGCTGCATTAATAAATAATGCTTGTGTTTTTTTAAAAAAAATAAAAATAGAAAAAAATTGTTGCCGTGGCATCAATATCTATCAATATTTCTTGATTTTAAATGTCTACTTCCTACTCAGGACAGGAAGAGTTTAGAAATAAATCCATTGGCCTTTGCAGAATCGGGCGCGTATTCTGTCCTTCCTCTTATTTACTTATTTAACAGTTTGCATGCTGCTCCTCTGAATATTGCCAATAGCAGTTTTTATAGCAAGGCTCAAAAGAAACAAAACTTCAGAACCTTTTTTTTAAAAAAAATCCATCAAACACCTCTGATTATAGCTGGTAGCATTGAAAACCAGCTTATGGCTGATTAGCCTGGCCTTTGGGGCCTCCGATGATGAGAGGCAATCGGAGTTATATGCCTGGTGTAATATAGCAATAGCTTTAATTCTCTGTCTGTAGGAAACTTGATTTTTTAAAAAATACACAATAACACAACAGAGTAACAGTTGGAAAGGACCTTTTCCTGCCCCTGCTCAGGCAGAAAACCCTATGCCATTTCAGACAAATGGCTGTCCAGTCTCTTCTTAAAACCTCCAGTGATGGAGGACCCACAATTTCTAGAGGCAAGTCATTCCACTGGTTAATTGTTCTGACTGTCAGGAAATTTCTCCTTAATTCCAGGTTGCTTCTCCCCTTGACTAGTCTCCATCTGTTGCTTCTTGTCTTTCCTTCTGATACTTTGGAGAATAGCTTGACTCCCTCTTCTTTGGGGCAGCCCCTGAGATACTGGAAGACTGCTATCATGTCCCCTTCTCATCCTTCTCTTCATTAAACTAGACCAGGGGTAGGCAACCTTGGCTCTTTTATGACTCGTGGACTTCAACTCCCAGAATTCCTGAGCCGGCATGGCTCAGCTTGGAAACCTCTCCCTTTCCCCCCAGCATGGCTGGCTCAGGAATTCTGGGAGTTGAAGTCCACGAGTCATAAGGGGGCCATAGTTCCCTCATGCTGGCTGGCTCAGGAATTCTGGGAGTTGAAGTCCACGAGTCATGAGGGGGCCATAATTCCCCCATGCTGGCTCAGGAATTCTGGGAGTTGAAGTCCACGAGTCATGAGGGGGCCATAGTTCCCCCATGCTGGCTCAGGAATTCTGGGAGTTGAAGTCCACCAGTCATAAAAGGGCCAAGGTTGCCTACCCCTGAACTAGACAGACCCAATTCCAGCAACCGTTCTTGGTATGTTTTTTAGCCTCCAGCCCCCTAATCATTTTTGTCGCTCTGCTTGTACTCTTTCTAAAGTCTCAACATCTTTTTTATAACGGGGCCACCAAAACTGGATGCCGTCTATTAATTCGAGGGGCCTCAGCTGGTGGACCCACCGGCCTTTCTGATAATGGGGCAGGTTTGGTTTTTCTTTCTTCTTTGGTGGGTGGTGCAGTTCCTTGTCGTTCCCCCCCAAGACCAGGGAAGGATCCAATGCTGAAAAACATGGATTCAGTACGAAAGATGGTTCCTTAATTTGCTCTTGAGCAGGGGTCTTCAAACTTAGCCCTTTTATGACTGGTAGGATTTCAACTCCCAGAATTCCTCAGTCGGCCATTTTGATGAAACTGAGGGCTGGGATCCTGACCAGGGGTCTTCCAACTTGGCCCTTTCATGACTGGTGGAATTCAACTCCCAGAATTCCTCAGTCAGCCATTTTGATGAAACTGCGGGCTGGGATCCAGACTAGGGGTCTTCAAACTTGGCCCTTTCATGACTCGTGGACTTCAACTCCCAGAATTCCTTAGCCAGGCATGCTGGCTGAGGAATTCTGGGAGTTGAAGTCCACGAGTCATGAAAGGGCCAAGTTTGAAGACCCCTCCTCTTGAGGATCAAAGAAGCGGCAGTCCTGGAAACAGACAATGAGAACACCATGCACCATAATCCTATTTATCCCAATTTGGTAGGTTCTCTGTATCAACCCTGTGTGGGAAATGGCCCCTGTATATGCCTCATGGCTGGCTGAGGAATGCTGGGAGTTGAAGTCCTTAAGTCTTAAAGTTGCCAAGTTTGGAGAGCCCGGCTATATAGGAAGAAGATCTTCTTGGTCCCTGGCATCGTCCAGTGGTGGGATTCAGCCGGTTCGAACCACTTCGGCAGAACCGGTAGCTAATTTTTTTGTTGGCCAGGCCCAGAGTGGACTTCCGGAAGTGGCATCCACGCAGAGAACCGGTGGTTCTCCTATTTGAATCCCATCACTGGTGTCGTCCCATCTCGCTTCTGCAAAATGGCGCCCGCCCCTGGTCTTGCAGGGGAAGCAGCGTCCTGAATGCCGCGGGCGCGGCAACAAGCCGGGGGCTTTGCATTGATGAAAATACGGGTGGAAGGGGGTGGCGGGGTTGGGGGGGCCAGCAGGTGTGCGCCCCTTCTGCAGATGGCGTCAGCAAGCATGTGGAAGGCTTGGCTTTCCAAAGCTCAGCAGATGCTGCCCTTTAAAAATTAATCGCTTGAACTGTTTCAAGTGTCAGGCAAAGCCAAGGGGGGAGAGAGAGAGAGAGAGAGAGAGGTAGCCCTTTAGGAATCTATTAACTGGGGAAGGGGGGTGGGGGGGAGATTCCCTAACCCCCCTCCAGAACTGGAAGCCTGCCCCCCTCTCCCGCGCGCCAGCTTTGCCCTTGATGTGACACAGCCGAGCATCGCTGTCTCCACTCTGCCAAATGGGAGGGGGAGGAGAGGGGAGGGTAAAAGGTGGGAAGCATGGGACCCGCGTGGCCCCCGGGATGCCGAGGCCCCCCTGCCCACCTCCGAATTCTCCCGCACGGTCTAGGGTTTCCTGCCTGAGCAGGGGGGTTGGACTAGAAGACCTCCAGGGCCCCTTCCAACTCTTTTATTCTGTTCTGTTCTGTTCTCCCTTGCTTCTCTTTTTCATTTCTTGCTACAGGTTGCTCTCTCTTTCTTGTTTCTTGTCTTGCCTTCTGGTGCTTTGGAAAATAAGTTGACCCCCCTCTTCTTTGTGGCAGCCCCTCAAATATTGCAACACTGCTATCATGTCTCACAGACACACACACACACACACACACCAGTCCTGCTTTTCTCTAGACTGGCCATACCCAATTCCTGCAACCGTTCTTCATGGGTTTTAGTCTCCAGGCCTTTAATCACCCTAGTTGCTCTTCTCTGCACTTTCCCCCCCCCCTCAAAGTCTCAACATCTCTTTTGTAATTGTGGTGACCAAAACCGGATGCAGCGTTCCAGGTGTGACCTTACTAAGGCTTTATAAAGTGGTACTACTAATACCCCGCCTGATTTTGATTCTGTGCCCCTGTTTATACAACCCAGGATTGCATTAGCATTTTTGGCTGCTGCCGCACACGGCTGGCTCACGTTTAAAGGACTCCAAGGTCCCTCTCCCAGTTGCTGTTTTTGATCCAGGTTTCGCCTAATCTGTACTTAATCCCTCTGGTCCACAAGGAGGAGAGGAAAGGGGAGATGCTCTCTGCAACCTCCTGGCACAGGAACGCCAGCCCTGCAGAGTGGGACCAATTGCCATTTCGGGTCATTTTCAAGAGGCCAGCTCATGTCCAGGGGTCAAACCTGCTTTGAAATGGACAGACGTCTAAACAGAGAGGATGGTGTGTGTGTGTGTGTGTGTGTGTGTGATTTTATCATTTTATTTCTGACCCACGTAACCACCTCTCTTTCGTCTTCTTCTTCTTCCTATTCCCAGGTTTTCCGGAAGCCAGCACTGTGGACACATTCACTGCGCATACCAATACCGCGAGCATTATCACTGCCTTGATCCAGAATGCAACTACCAGGTAGAAAATACACAGTAAAACCCAGAGGCTTGGGAACCCAGCCCTGAACGTGGGAGAGGGAAAAAATAAAATAAAATAAAAAGCTTCAGGACTAGTGAATCCAATCTAGTGGCCCTAACATCCAGTGCAGTCATTTGCCCACCGTAGCAGGAGTGTTGCACAAGGCTGGCATTCCCTGGTCCAGAGTTTCCCTGGGGGAAGTTGCCAAAGAAAGGTTTTTTTTTAATTCCTGGGGATTTTTTTTGCACGTGGGAAAACTCTTCAAGAAGGTGGGCTTCAGCCAGAGGTGATGAGTCTTCTTCACTTGGACCCTGTGGGCCCTTTCAAAGCCCCCAGGGCAAATTAGCTTCTCACTAACGCAGTGGTTCTCAACCTTTTTAATGCCGCGACCCCAACCGGTCGTAAGTCGAGGACTAAACCAGTCATAAGTCGAGGACTAAACCAGTCGTAAGTCGAGGACTACCCAACCGGTCATAAGTCGAGGACTTTCCCTGCCCGGGAGCGCCGCGCATGCGTGGTTCCGCCCCCTGTGCCGGCCGAGGCGTAGCTGGCAAGCGGCAGAGACAGAGCAGGCCGACCACCAGCTGGCCCAGCTCAAGGGAGGTAAGGCACCCGCCAGAAAAGGGGAAAAAAATGGACAAAAAAAATGGCGGACAGCCTTGCTTGGCGACCCCCGTGAAATGGTCGATCGACCCCAAATGGGGTCCCGACCCACAGGTTGAGAACCACTGCACTAACGGCTTCAGAGCATTCCTGCCCTCCTTGATTTCAAAATATTTTTGCCGGGCGACTGCAAGGGACGTTCTCGGGGCGCAATGCAGATCAGGAGGACATAAAAACGGGGAGCTTAATTCGAGGCAGAGAGCTGCACGGAGGGAAAAAGCCATCCAAGGTGGTTTGTGGACTCTTCTCATTAAAAACAGCTTGTTGGTACCGCTCCAGATATTCTTGATGGACTTCTGGCGTGTAATTGTCACACAGCGCCTACAAACGCTCCCGTTGTAAGCCTTCCTGCCCCCCCCAAGGAACGACCCTCTTTAAATACGAAAAGGCAGGGTAATGGAGACGGATGGAAGGAGCGTGTGGGGGGGTTCCTCCTTCATTTTGGCCTCTCCTCCCAACGGGGTGATGTTAATCCCGCTCCGGTCAAAGGTGTTTTGAGTAGCCCCTCCGGGGCAGAGAACCCCAGGTGACCTTCAGTAGCTCCTGGCCACGGGGGATTAAGGAAGGTGGGAGAGAAGCAGGAAGTGGAGGAAGGGACTCTAAGTTGGAAGGGCTGGGAGAGGTGCCAGGACCCAGTCGTCAAGCCGGCTCCACCGGGTCACGTGCTGCCTGTCTTCACCCCGCGCTCAGGGTTGACTGTGACTCTGCCATTTTTTTGTAGTCAGGCCCCTGTCCTCCCCCCTCTCTGCACCGGTCAATTAGGGCTTGTGGTGGCGTGGTTGACGGGATTCCCAGGAATAGCTGCCTTGGGTTTCTTCCCTGTCGTTCTCCTGGATTGGAGGCACACCTCCCATTGCAGCTGGGATGCTGGCTCTGTTTCCCCCTGCTTGGTAGGCTGGGGGTTTCTGTGGGTGGATGGTGGTGAGGATGTGGGCAGTGGGAATCCAGCAACGGGTTGAGGAGGGGGTGGGTCCCCAAAGCACCTGAAGGCAGGACAAGAAGCAACGGATGGAAACCCAGCCAGGAGAGAAGCAACCTGGAACTAAGGAGGAATTTCCTGACAGTCAGAAGAATAGAATAGAATAGAATAGAATAGAATAGAATAGAATAGAATAGAATAGAATAGAATAGAATAGAATAATAAGGAATAGAATAGAATAGTATAGAATATAGAATAGAACTATGAATAGAATAGAATGGAAAATGAATAGAATAGAATAGACTATGGAATGGAATGGAATAGAATAGAATATAATAAAGATGGAATAGAATAGAATAGAATAAAGATGGAATAGAATAGAATAAAGATGGAATGGAATAAAATAATAATAGAATAGAGTAGAATAGAATAAAGATGGAATGGAATGGAATAGAATAGAATAAAGATGGAATAGAATAATAATAGAATAGAATGTAGAATAGAACTGAATAGAATAGAATGGAAAATGAATAGAATAGACTAGACTATGGAATGGAATGGAATAGAATAGAATAGAATAGAATAGAATAGAATAGAATAGAATAGAATAGAAGGAATGCAGAATAGAACAGAACAGAACAATTAATCAGCAGAACGGCTTTTGCCTACAGAAGTTGTGGGTGCTCCATCACTGGAGGTTCTTAAGAAGAGACTGGGCAACCATTTGTCTGAAATGGTATAGGGTTTCCTGCCTGAGCAGGGGTTGGACTAGAAGACCTCCAAGGTCCCTTCCAACTGTGTTATTTGTGTGTCTCTGAGGAAGGAGCCCTTAAGGAAGAGAGAGCTGGGTGTGTGTGTGTGAAGAAATGTCCCTGCTTTAGAAAAGATTGCCTGACACCCCCCCCCCCAGGAGAGTGTAAAGCTTGGCAGTGATTTTTGGCTGGCTCTAGAGCAGGACTATCCAATCTTGCAACCTCAAGACTCGTGGACTTCAACTCCCAGAATTCCCCAGCCAGCCAAGCTTGGTTGATTTTAAGCCAAGTCTTAAAAAGTTGCCAAAGTTGACTATCCTCCGCTCTAGAGACTCCGGAATAAGCGGCTGTATATTAGCGGTGTGTGTGGCGACAGAATCCCAGGGAAATTGCTCCTCGGAGCTTCTTTGCCGCTCCTGGGTATATTGCAAAGTTTAATCAAAGCAATAGAGCCAGATGGAGATTTATTCCTCCATTCCAAGAGAGAAAGGTTTGAGGAGGGTGTGTGTGTGTGTGCAATTCCCCATCTGGATACGGAGGGAATCCTGCTCAGGAGATCCGCCTCTATCCCAGCAGCTGGATTCACCCGAGGGGTCTCTCTGCTTGTGTTGGAATGGAATATGGAATTGAATAGTACAGAACAGAACAGAATATAGAATAGAATAGAATAGAATAGAATAGAATAGAATAGAATAGAATAGAATAGAATAGAATATGGAATGGAATGGAATGGAATAGAATAGAATAGAATAGAATAGAATAGAATAGAATAGAATAGAATAGAATAGAATAGAATATGGAATGGAACGGAACGGAACGGAACAGAACAGAATATAGAAGGGAATGGAATAGAATATGGAATGGAATAGAATAGAATAGAAAATAGAATGGAACAATAGAATAGAATAGAATAGAATAGAATAGAATAGAATAGAATAGAATAGAATAGAATATAGAATGAAATAGAATAGAATAGAATGAAAGAATAGAACAGAACAGAACAGAACAATATAGAATAGAATAGAATAGAATAGAATATAGAAGGGAATGGAATAGAATATGGAATGGAATAGAATAGAATAGAATAGAAAATAGAATGGAACAATAGAATAGAATAGAATATAGAATGAAATAGAATAGAATAGAACATAGAATAGAATAGAATAGAATAGAATAGAATAGAATAGAATAGAATAGAATAGAATAGAATAGAATAGAATAGAATAGAATTCGTGGTCAATTTGGGGAGGAGAGAATCTGGGCTTCCCTTGAGGGGGAAGCCCACACCCAAACACTCAATGGCCACCTGTTTCTGCAGGCTCAGTGATCTTGGCCGTCCTTTTAACCAGACCTTGCCTTTACTTTCAAAAGAGAATGAACTCAAGGCTCCTGAATTCACGCACCTGTCCCATAAGTTAAGTTGGTCCAGGAAAGTAACCAGGTTTGCTGCCCTGGCTCATGCCACCCAAAAAAAAAGCCGGGCTGGATTTAAGCCATCCAGGTTTCGCACGCTGCACAGCACCGCATGGGCTAAGCATGTTACGCAAAGGCAGCCCTGCTTTGGCAAGGGCTTCTTTTCAGCCCACGTCCGAATTACGTCCCCGTGTTCGGTGTTTCCCGTATTTTCCCTCTGTCGCGAAAGCCTGGCTGGGATGCCTTCGCCTTTCCGCGCCTGGGACGGACATCCTTCCCTCACCTTCTCCTGCTTCTCCCTCTCGCCCTCAGAGGTTCACCAGTAAGCAGGACGTGATCCGGCATTACAACATGCACAAGAAACGGGATAACTCCCTCCAGCACGGCTTCATGCGGTTCAGCCCCCTGGACGACTGCAGCGTCTACTATCACGGCTGCCACCTCAACGGGAAAAGCACACACTATCACTGCATGCAGGTAACCCACCCACCCACCCACCCACCCCCCGGCCCACCTTCGCCGGGCTGGGAAGACAAGGATCAGGATGGCCAATGAATTCCCCACCCTCCACTCAAAACGAGCCTTGCGACGGGAGAATAATCCTAGAGGGTCCCCTTTTCTGCAACATGGCCGGGATGAGTTGGGGTTTTTTTTTGGAAGGGATAACCGGTGGGTTTTTCCTTTTGAGTCCCCCCCCAGGCCCCTCCTGGGAGGATGGCCCTCCGGTGTTTCTAAGCAGGAGGCCTCCTCCTCCGCTCGCTCCGAGTGGCTTTGCTCTCCGTTGAGCGTGGTGACCTTGCGGTGCAGATTTCGCTGCTCTTTCACTCGCTTTGTGCCTGGCCGCTGAGCCAATCCAATATTAATAGCAGCCCAGTTTCAAACGGAAGATCAGAGGGAGAAACTACAGCCTCTCCACTAGGGAGGAAGCGTGCGAGATGGGAAGTTTGGCTGGGTTCAACCTGGAGCAGAGACTTTGAATCCTTTCAAATCCTTCCCGGGCTGGCGGCTTTTAGAAGCAACCTAGAACTAAGGAGAAACTTCCTGACCGTGAGAACGATTAACCAGTGGAACAACCTGCCTCCAGAAGTTGTGAATGCTCCAACACTGGAGGTTTTGAAGAAGAGACTGGACAGCCACTTGTCTGAAATGGTGTAGGGTTTCCTGCCTGAGCAGGGGGTTCCAACTTTATTATTATTACTATTACTATTACTCCTTTGAGATCCAAGTTAGTTTGGTCTTTGCATCTGCCGGCATCCACTCCAGCCCCTGCAGCCCACCGGACTGCAGGGAGTCCTCGGCTTAGCCACTGCAAAATTTCCGTTGTTAAGCGAGACCTTCGTCCAGCGAGTTTGACCCCACCGTTTTACGGCCTTCCTTCCCCCGGTTGTTAAGTGGATCACTGCAGTTGACCAGTTAGTAAACCGGTTGGGAAGTGAACCTGGTTTCCTGCCGGCCAGAAGGTTGCAAAAGGGCATCACGTGAACGGTCGTAAGTGGGAATCAGTTGCCAAGCATCTGCCAGGCAAAGGTCGCAACTCTGAAAAACGGTCCTAAGGCACATTTTCCGGCGCCGTTGTGACTTTGAGCTGTCGCTAAACGAACAGTTGTTGTCGTCTACTCGTACGCTGGGTGGATTCTGAGGTGTCCAGGACACGCCAGGCTGCCCTTCCCTTGAAGGGAATGGGTGAGGACCGGCAACCGGCACCTCTGGATGGAAAGAATTTTTTAGAAAAGGGGACCAACATGAAAACCTTCGTTGGAAGCCAACGTCCACGTTAAGGGGAAGAAGAAAGAACAAAAAAGGTGTCACAACGTTGTAAATTCCCCCCCAGGAGAGCAAAACTCTTCAAACAGCAGCCTTTGCCCCCCACAAGCCTGGCTGGGAAGGCCCTTCCCCTTTTTATGTCCATAATTGGCCTGGACAAAAGGCAGTTAGTTGTTTATACCAAGGGGACATTTTTCCCCCCACTTTACCACAATCGGCCCTTCTCGCAAATTGTTCACCGGGAGGTGTTTCTTTTTCTTTTTCTTTTTTTGTTTAATTTCTTCTTTTAACACCACTCTGGGTCTGTCTTTTTTCAAGGTGTCAGTGGGGAAAAGAGGCCCGGGTTAGATTTGGAAGTAGCTTCGGAATAGCTCCCTCCCTTCGCCCCCCACCCACCCCTTCCCTCCCTCCCTCCCTCCCCCATCCTGCACACTTTCTGGGTGTTTGTCAGATTGCTTTTCTCTCAACCCAAGGTGAACTTGTGTGTGTGTGTGTGTGTGTTTTGGTTTGCTTCACTTCTGAGATGGTGCAGGCATTGGCAACGGACGCTCTCAGAGGGCACCCCGGCGGCGTTGACAGATTCTGCTGGAATTTTACTCAATATGGCCAGTTTCCCCCTGGCTGGGCCGAGGTGGGGAGAGAGAGATTCTGCATTCTGCATTCCTTCTCTCTGCACACGGAGGGACGTGAAGCAAAGCCGGTCC